CAAACATAAATACATACATATATATATTCAATTATTTTTTTCAAAAACGAATACAAGTTAGATAAAAATCATTCAGAATGAAGTATAGAAATTCGTTAAATAAAATACTATTTGGGAAGATACTCTTGATAAAAAGACTCTAAGATCGAGACAAAAAAGGAATTACATACTCTAATGCCCGCATCCCGTTCAGCCTCAGCGACACCAATGTCAGCATCACGCTTGACATTGGCAGTCTGAGCTCGGCCGAGAGAGTTGAGATATTCTACCTTGTCGTAAACGTCCTTAATAGTGAAACTAAGTATTTCGATGCCCATTCTACCTACATCCGGAGATGCAACTTCACGAACAAGAGCAGCAAATTGGTCTCGGTCCTGAAAACAAAAACAAATGATGAAACAGTAAGAGCCATTCAGCGCTCGAAATTCGAATTCAAACAATTAATTATGGAGGTTTATAAACTTAAAAATATATGGCATAGTTAATATTCCAAACAATATAATAGACTGGAAGAAGACTTACAGCAAGTAAACTTTCGATTATATAAAACTATAAGCTATCTATACCGTATAATGTATTATTAAGCCCAGGAAGAGAAAGAAAATAATAAAAGCATGCATAAAATCCAGCTTGAGCATAAAATATTATAGATAAAAAGAATAAGTGAGTTTCGATGAATTTCCTGAGATAAAATTATTGTTAGGACTTTCATTACGTGTGAAGGTATACGAAGAAGAGATTCCAATGTCGATCTCACCAGAAGAGGACGATTTAATCCCGTTATACCGCAGCAGCTTGGCTTTTATACGAAGTTGAGATTGATGCAGTCCACGAGACCTCACATTCAACGTATTTCCTAATATATTAACTTCAATAGCCTCTCTTATCTTTCTTTTAACCGCAGACGTACCATAATCAACAAACCTACTAGTTAGAGACCATTTAATCTCATGTCCAGTTTCTATCATGTGTTCGGTTATTTCTGACCGTTGAAACAAGCTTTATTTACAAGCATTTTTGTGTTCCTCCAATCTTTGCCGAATAGAATGGCATGTTTCACCAACATAACATCAACAACAAACAATCTTGTAGCATCCAGATCTCGATAAGGAATCAGATTTCTCTTTAAAAGATGGTATAGCAGAAGCCGCGGGGGCCCTATCACATCTCTGGAGTAAAAAATTCATTTCCCATTTTTTCACTTCACCATTACTTACGCACACCTAAGGGCATCCTTTAGCCTAGTCTTAAGCCTTTCTATTGGATCTCTTATTAAAGGCATATATGTGTTAGTATCGTTTAAATTAACTATCATTTTTTTATATATAGCTTGACAAAGCCATGACTATCGCTGCTCCACCTTTATCGACTTTTAAAACGATTAAATTATTCCCACATAAATATCGTAAAACCCTACTAAGAACACAAACTTTCTTCGACGCGATTATATGGTCAAAATGAAGGATCACCTACAGCTAAATGCTATTGTCCACCTCCTCAGGCATTCTATCAGATAAGCTAGTTAATTGAAAAAGCAGGACGGATATTGGTTTACCTAATTTAGAAGAGCAAAATTCAGTCTTCTTTCCAACAAAAGTTCCACACTATCCACCAGAGTTAGATTGGATAATTGGATTATCTTATCCTTCCCCAGTTTCTTGCAAACATGGTTATTATGAATTAGCTTAGGTTCAAAATTGATCTACGTTTTGCCTAATTCCTAAGTTCCGGAGCTTCGTATCATGTATCCGCAGTTATTTTGTTAGCGGCCTCTCCTAACCCGTCTGCCATATCTTGTAACTTAAGAGAATCCACACAAATCAATACTTCAGAAAGGGATTCTCTAGGCCTGGTTTTGCTTTTAATTAGTTCGAGTAGTCTGTTAATGCTTTCCTTGAGTCTTATTTTAGCGAAAACATACGATACATGGTCAAGTTCCCCATAAGTGTACCTCGGTAGATTAAAACGTCTACCGAGTTAAAAACGCGTATGAACAGCATTATGAGAAATAGAAATTTAAAAAAATCTGATTCTATTAACTTGCCGGGATATTGTTTTCTTGGTTATAATAAAGCGAGAAGACAACTGACAAGACGTTGAACCTTATTTAGATTCTAGATACGAAGAGTAACCGAACAGAAGATAGAATATTTTCAAACTAGTAGGTTTGCTAATTATGATGCGTCTGCTGTTAAAAGAAAGATAAGAGGCTACTGAAATTAATAGATTAGGGAATACGTTGGATATGAGGAATGACGGTAGGAAGTTGAGTAGGAACTAATTATACTTGATTGGTAAAATGAAGGAGAGAATGGGTGTCGCGCCGCCATTCATAAGGAGGCGACTCAATTTATCTGCTCAATGAAGGTTCTAACTTCATTCACCCTCGTCCAATTTGCTAGAATAAGCTCATCAACCAAACTAGACGTACGAGATTACACAGCCCCAGTCATGGCTTCCATTGGGTGGTTAAACTATAATGACTATAGACTGAGAGATTAGGACAGGTTGTCTAGTAACCTGACTTGCACGCTTATAAACTTAAATTTCATTATC